CCCACCAGAAGTGGCACAGTTCTGGGTGTGAGATGTGAGCATAGTGCCAAGTGTCTCTTCCGGGACAGGTCTTGGAAGAGAGCTGACTAATCCAGGGGAACAGCAAGCACTTCTGCCCTTCCTCTTTCCCTCCACCTTCTTTCTAATCAGATATGCAGGTGATGGTAAGAGCACTGGCAGCCATTTTGGGCCAGCACCAAGAAAATGACACAATAAGAAAGGAGCTGTGTCCCTGAGGCTGTGCGGTGCCCTGCCAGTCAGACAACTTGGGTGTATGTCACATAAGAGAGACATGCAGTCTGTCTTGATGGTGCTTATGATGTTCTAGGCTTTCTCAGAAATGCAGCTCCAACTAGTCCTGCAGGGCAGGTGGCCATGTTGGCTCAAATGTTACCCACCCCCCACTCCACCCCTACCCCCCACAGAATAGGAGGCCACTCCAGTGACCTGCAGGAAACTTCATGGAATGAAATCCTGGGTCTGAATTAGGCCATTCCTGTGTCACAGAGCCCCAGTGTAAGGTGGGAAGGGTTCCAGGGGGCCGTGGTGAAGGACACTTGCTGGCCTCCTAGCAACACTGTCTCCAGAGGCTGAGCACAGTGGCCTGAAATCTCAATACTCTGGAAGGCTGAGGTGGGAGGATCTCTTGAGTTCAGGAGTTCAAGACCAGTTTAAGCAAGAGTGAGGCCCCATCTGTACTTTAAAAAAAAAAGAAAATTAAACAGGCGTTCTGGTGGGCACCTGTAGTCCCAGCTACTTGGGAGACTGAAGCAGAAGGATCATTTGAGCCCAGGAGTTTGAGGTTGCTATGAGCTGTGGACGCCATAGCACTCTAGCCTGGGAAATAGAGCAAGACGCTGTCTCAAAAATAAAAATCACGGCCGCATCTGTGACTTAAGGAATAGGGCACCGGCCCCGTATGTCGAGGGTGGTGGGTTTGAGCCTAGCCCCAGCCAAAAACTGCAACAACAACAAAAAAAAATAAAAAATAAATAAAAATCACTTTCCCCAAATCTGCTTGACTGTGGAACCCTTCCGTCCAGAAATAGAACAATATCTAGGAAGGCTTTGGGGGTCAGGGCACCCGGCCGACACAGAACCTCATCACCATGCTCTTGGGGTGGTTTAGGTGTTGGTGGTCCAAGGTGCTCAGCTAATTCCAGGCACACAATGAGTATGTGGAACATTCTAGGCTGCTACTGCATGCCTAGTGGGCATGCAAGTTGAGGATACTCCTGTCCTACCCTTCCCCCTGATTGTCCTCGGTCCAGTTGGCTGGACAAGTGCCCCCAGTCATCACTGGGCAGAATCTTAGGGCCACTGGCAGAGGCCAGGGTGGGAGTGCTGCTAGGTCAGGTGAGAGCCAACCCAGTGACAGGCTGTTTATGAAGCCAAAGGAGTGAGGAAGCTGTGGGGTAAAAAGTTTATAAGAGGAATACCATTTTTTTCCTTTTGGCAGAATTTAATGGGTGCAGATTGTTCAGGTCCCAAAGACACAGAAAAAAAAAAAAAGAAAAAGAAAAAGCCCTTTGCTGCTGCTATTGATAACTTGTCTCTCTTCACGTGGTGGGTTCAAAACTAAAAATACTCTCCTCCTGACGATAGGGGAGCCAAGTGCTGTCACGTTGCAGAGGAGATTCGAAAGTTTTGGTGGGGAGGGATCATCTTGAGCCACGTGAGGGCTAGGGCCAGGGCCAGGCCTCAGTGGCCAGGCTGCCCTTCCGCAGTCCAGGCTGCATCTGCACACAAGATTCCATGGCATTCCACAGAAGGAGTGGGAACTGTCCTCTCCACAGGCCTGGGGAGGGCCAGGGAGAGAAGCAGCCAGCAGTGCTAAGGCACCCACACTCTTGGGTGCCAAGCCTGTTTGAGATATGGGGCCACTCTGGTCGCACACCCAGATAAAGTGGTAAACCCTGGCCTAGAAACCTGGTGGGGAGGTAAGAGTGAATTGGAGGAGAGGGCAGTGGCTTTGCAGTACCGCTGTGCCCCCTCTGCAGAGTGACCCTGGGTAGGTCTGCTCTCTAAGCCTTGGTGTCTCTATCCAGAGGGAGGACAATAGTCTCTCTTCTGCCTCCTTCATGGTGGAAGGGAAAGAAGCAGTTGACACAGAGGTGGCTGCGACCACTGGACCACTGGACCCACAGACCAGCTGGCAGCCCAGGGGAGGGTCAGGAGAGCAACTGGCTAAGGAGCTGCCTTTGGAGGGGAAGGAGGTGGCTCCCCCCTCCTTGGCTAGTAGGACAGAGGGAGGCTTCTAGAAATTTGATCAGAGAGCTTCCACCCCCTATCCTGAGCACTTAGGCCCGGTTTGGCCTGCGGAGTCCTATCAAGATCTTAGGGGTCCATCCATGTTGCCCCTAACTTCAAAGAGACTTGGGACATGGAGGCACCATCATCCATGGTGGGTGGGAGGCAGCACAGACATCACTGCGGGGTTCGTTCTTGGGGTCAACTTGGTCTGAGAACAGTTCATGTGGGAGAAGACACCTCCCAAATCACCTACCAGACCAGAACTTCTCAGGTTCTAGAGAGCATGCACAGCGGCCAGCTGACCCTGTGTGGCATAAGCCATGGCCAAGCAGGCCACATCTGGGGCCGGACTGCTGGTGTGCAGACTACACTATGTCCAGAGCCATCTTGGGCCACTCCTCACTGCAGGGCTCGGGAACCACTGAACCTGGGGGCACAGTCGGCTCACCTATAGAGTGGGACTCACAACAAATGGACACACTTGACTGGCTGCTGCCAACATGAAACCTGACAAGGTGTGTCCATCAGCGGCCCTCAGCTGTTGTCACCATCATCACCACCATCATAACCACAGGGTGGTCCGAGCCAACTCTGTTCCCTTTTTGGTTCCCATCTTCCGTCTCTGGAGAATTTGCCTCTGAAATTGGCCTCTTGACCTAATGGAGATGATAAGAAATGCTCCCAAGTTAGTCCTGAGGCATCCTCTCCTCTATCCGCTGAGTGGGGGAGGATTCCCACCCAATCCCACAGTGGGTACCAGGAAGAAGGCAGTGGCGGCCCTTGGAGCCCAGCTGTTGCATTTGTTAAAAGGGTTAACTGTCCCCATCCCAGCCCCAGGGCCATGGACATCATGCCCCCTCCCCTGCCCCCACACCCAAGGTCAGGGTGGAGCTGGCCACACTCAGCCTTAGGTGGCCCTCGACAGGCGAGGGAGTCCTTCTGCCTGAGATGATGCTGTCCTCACCAGTGTGGAGCCCCTTAGGGCATGCCCCTCGGTCAAAGTCACAGACAAGGGGCGCAGGCAGTGGGCTTCCTGAGCTCTGGAGGGAAGCTGTGGAGTGTGGTCATCTCCATGTCAACCAGCCTCACTGTCCTTGCCCTGGCTTGGGGGCTTATCCACCTCCCCTTCCCTCTGCCGGCTGGAATAGCTTTCTTCAGGGTAACCATGGCAACGCCTTTGTTTCTGAGGCTGTGCCTCCCTCCCGTGTCTCTCTTCAGGAGGGGCTCAGAGGCTCCTTCTTAGTCCCAGCACGTCTCCAGTGGTGCCAGCAGACAGTGGGCCCACCAGCAAGCAGGGGTCACCCTGGGATGGGGGAGCCCTGACTCTCTGGTCCCACAGAGACCCCACTCATTCACCCACTCGGGCCCTGATGTTTATGGAGCGCCAGCATCAGCCAAAGGGGCCTGTCCCTGCACCACTGTCCTGCTAAAGACCACCTGGAATGGGGGAGATATGGGTGCAGAGGCCTGACTGGGGCTGGCTCTAGGGGACCTTCAGAACACACCATGGGATCACGGGTGCTCGCAGGGTGTCTGGTACTCCCTTGGCTCCACTTCACACTGACTTAAGCAGAAAAGAAATGGAGTAGCTCATGTAACAAGCAAGTCAAAGACAGCACTTGCTTAAGGTCTTCTGGTTCCAGATGACCCAGTGGCATCTGCCCCTGCTTTCCTCTGGCTGACTTTATTCCCATGCACCCCTCTCCTCAGGTGGCAAGAATGTCTACCTGCAGCCTCAAACTTCCTCCTTCTGCTGCCTAACCCAGTCCTGAACAGGTCTGTGGGCAGAAGTCTTTCGACTTCAACCTCCCCTCTGGTCCCAACTTCCTGAACCCACAGCAAAAGTCCCAGAGCTGAGCCTCCTTGGCCAGGATGGGGTTACAGGCTGACCTTAAACCAACTGCTGCGACTCTAAGTAGCCAGCCTGGTTTATGTCACTCCTACTCTCCTCAAACCAGACCCATGACTCAAATGAGATGATGAGAGAGGAGCCCTGATTTGCAAAGGAAACTCTGGGTGCTCACAGGCTCAGAGAGATTAGTTGACTTGTCCGACACCTCACAGCTGGTGCGGACGGAAACTCCAGGACTGACTTCAGAGCTTCTGGGGCTTAACCACAGAGCCACTGTAGGGCAGTGGGAGTTCTGAAGGGTTTTAAACGGGAGTGAAACGGCGAAGAATGCAGCGGAGGGGTAAACTGGCGCTGGATTTTGGTGAGCGATGGAAGGCGGCGGGCAAAGGCGGTAGCCGATATTCGAGATTTGGTAGGACAGTGTGGAGCGGCTACGCCCCACCCACGACCGGGTCAGCTGCTGTAAGGCTCTGGACAGTGGAGGTGTGGGCCTATATGGCAGCGTCGCCTCTCTGGCGCAGCGCACCTGCCAGGGGAGCGTCTGCGCCCTAGGCCACCTGACTCACTGTTTGTAAACTCGCCTGTTCCGCAGCCACGCCCTTTCCTCCTTCTCTCCCTCCCCTTTCGGGTCAGTATCTGTGTAACCCCGCCTCTCCTCTGCTATCATGGGCTACCTGTGCTGTCATTCCTCCGTGAGGCGGAGCTGCGAGGGGTAGGCCGAGGCCGTCCAGCGAGGTGATTAGCATAGTCCCGCCTCTCGGCGCATCTCTCGGGCCGGACGCTGATTGGGCGAGTGGCGGCTGACGCGACGGCGCCGGGAGCAGCCAGTGGCAGACTTGGGCTGTCAATCTGCGAGGTGGCGGGCCGCACTTCCGCCTCGGTGTCAGTGGGTCGCGGGTCTGCGGGGCGGGGGCGGGACCGGTAGCGAGCTCGGCTGGCGCCAGAGTGACCTGCGTCCAGGTGAGTGGCCCCATGGCCCGCCCGGAGAAAGCCCGGACCCCGGCATGCGGCGGCGGGGCCGGAGCGGGCGGGGCAGGACCCAGGCCCGC